TTCTGCATTAGGGTGTATAGTTTCTGAATTTGCTATAAAAATCATCATAGTTTCAAAAAAATCTGCTTTTGGAGCTTTATGGCTTTTGAAGCTAAATATTGTTATATTGATTCATCAAAATCCATAAAAGCTCTAAAAGCACCTATTTAGGAGCTTCTATGGTTTTTTGGTCAAAGTAAAAAAGCTGCAAAAGTATAAGCAAAAGCCCAAACAAACAGGGCCTAATATGTCTAAGCTTCTCACCTATTTGGGTGGTGACTCATGCGGCTATTGGGAAACTTTTGATGTTGGTTAAACTTGTACATCTTTTAGAATTTTGTATTTTTAAATATTGTATGAAAAAAACAAGATGCAAAAATAAAGATAGAGATGCCGACTTTAGTGTACTTTAATGTTACAGTAACCTTTATGTTTTATAGCGATCTTTTATGTGTGTTTGTTGTTCAATAAACACTAACATTAGGCATTTTCTATAAAAGGGTTGAAAACTACATCTCGATAGGGAGTAAGGGCGAGTCGAACGTAGTTCACCAAACGTTTGCGGAAACGTCCGGACGTGTCTATGGACAACAATAGGGGAACCGACCATCCAACCCGACGCACCAAATGTCTGCCCCGGGTCCGACCTCCTCCATTTGACATATATATGTAGATCAAGAGCAATTTAGCATATGTATAAATAGATACAAACATATACAATCACAACCAAAAAGCACTAGATGTTAAACAAGTTTTTACATCGAACTGATACCAAAAGAAGGCAGCCACCTGGTCAACATCTTGGCATCAACCTTCTTCTCTTGTAGTTTGATCTTCTTGTCTTACACCTCCATGAACTTGTGAGACCTCTTCGTACTCTTTTTCCTCCTTCACAACATTGTGCTTGATGCATGGCACCTCCTACTTCTCCACATATCCTCGAACCTCTTTGTCATGTTGGCAGTCGTCCCTTCCCGCTTCTTCTTCTCCTCATCCCACTTTCTCCCCTGGATTCTAGCTATCCTCTTGGCCGAAGCAAGGCCTCCTTTTGTTGGATCACCATCTTCATCTTCATTGGCGATGGCGGTGGTCTTCATGGAATTTGGAATGACACTGAGTATGGTCGGCTCTATGTTTCAAAGGGCCCTTGGGCGAACTCGACGACATGGGCCCCTAATACTATATGTACATGTTTGAGTTTCCACATTACGTAAACATGTATATATCTAACTTCATTTGCAAAATATTAAGAGTAAAGATTCAGCCATGCATCCTCAGTTTGAGATGTCTAAAAATAATTGTTGTAAAATGTCATATTACGACAGAAAGATTATACCAACATGAAACTAACATGATTACCTCAAATAAGAACCAAATTCTAGTGACTTCATCAACAATAATAATTCTTCAGTGCTTTACAAATAAGTTACTTTGGGTGTTTCTTGATGCCAAGTCATTAAGGACAATATTAAGATTCTCTGTGCTTGCATCATCTTCATTAACCTTAACATCTGCATTAAAACTATGATTATTTTCCTGCCCGAGATTAGCTTCTTGCTCTTCTTCTTCATTGACATCAACATTGCTTAATGATGAAAGAAAACTTTTTTAAAATAACCCTTCTATCTTTCAATTGAGAGATTGCTTTCCTTTACTTTTCTTCTTTTTGTAGCACCCGACAAATACTTTAGAGGCAACATTGTAAGACTAATGACCTAAAATTATGAAGAAAAAATAGTACATAGAATTAGAATTTTGTACATCAGCAGTTCAACACCTTAACAGTCCTATATCATGTATACTAAAATTGGGGATGGACGGATCATATACATACTTTTGAAAGACCAAGAAGAGAGTAATCGATGAATTCGCAATGTCACGCCGTCGCAGCCTCGTGGACAGCTCGACGGCACGGTGGCAACGGCTGAACGGCGGCACGGTGCAAGACTGCAAGAGTAGCTACTCAGCTAGCGCCTAGCAACCTGCTGCAGCGGTGGCGGCAATCGACAAGCCCTGAGCGACAGCAAGAAGCCGAGGATAGGGGGCGACGGTTGTGTGACGAACAAACAGAATAAGAGACCGCAGTGGATTTTTTTCATGAGAACTAGCAATCGCGATGGATCGATGCGTGCGAGTGCGATGCTTGATTTCCTAACATAATTGACAGACAATTTGTCAAGCCTATCATGCTGGGTCTTCCTTCCTTCCTCTCTCTCTCTCTCTCTATTTACTGGGTGATACAAGATCATGGCCCCCTCCCAGGGTTAGGCCCTAGGCCGTTGCCCCTCTGGCCATATGCCAGGGCCGGCTCTGACATCGAGCCACTTGCACATTCAACTTTAACCAACAATGAATGAAGAGGGAGTGCTTCTTCTCCGTCATAAAGAACAATGTGCACACACGGAAACCGAGAAAGAAAAAACATGATCAACAAGTTTGCATATCTGGCCAAATGACCAAACCATAGAGCATATCCAGCCAAATGACCAACACATGTTGCAATCCGGCCAAATGACCAACACACATAGAGCAAAAAACTTTATGAGCCCTTGGAGTGTCGAACCACTTGGCCACTAGATTTGTAATTGTCTGTAAAAGCCACAATACTTGTTGGCGGCCCCTTAAATGGTGCACGATCAATGAGTGAGTGACTTCGAATTTCAATTACATATCTTCTCATTGTGATATGGATCATACAACTTTTGCTCATGGAACCAAACATGCACACTTGTCCAAAAGGTTCTGGCACTTTAATTGCTTCCTGCCATGAATCGGATCAATGCTTGTGGCCAACCACGCATCCGTGAACAATTCATTCTATGTTTCTGTGGGGTCGGCACCTGGCTGCTAGAAGTCGTCCTAATCACCGTCCGACTGTCGGTCGAGGCCCAACAGCTCGGGGTGTGCTGCTAGGTGTGTGTTTGCTAGGTGTCTGGCATTTTGGTGTGTGGCTCCGGCTGGAAGTCATCCACTTGTCCGTCTTCGTGGAGGCGACTTTTGTGGATCATGTTTATCAATGTCTCGTCCTCATCTGTGTCGCGCTAGGTTGAGATATTTCGGCAAACAAAGACCAGGCATCGAAGGGCGAGGAAGCCACAACCAGCATGCACGAACGGACAAGCGCTGCTGACTACGACTAAGGCTCTGTGAAGGTGTAGTCCCCATTGAGATCGACATTGAATAACACTTGATGGCCGACGGTGATGGTGGATGTAGATGGATGCTATGGACCGTCAGCATGGTCGCCAGTCGGTCTCGTCTCCAGTGGCCCTAGGGCCATGGAGGCGTGGTGGACCCCTACCCCTGGCCCATTCTTAGGTGTTTGTTTGAGTTTTTTTACGGTTTGTGTTCAGAAAAGCGAGGCGGCAATGGCCCCCATCCCAGTGATGCGTCTAGTGTCGTCAAAGGGTGTGTGGGTGTGTGTCTTCGACGAATCTCGTGTGATTTGGTCTGTACCGGTCTGCGGTGGACCTGCTTGAATTCGGTCTTTGTTCGTTTTTCTATAAGTTGGATCATTTCAATCTACACTTTTTTCCATCGGCGACGGTTGCTGCTCTGATGCGCCGGTCCTGTGAGGCCTTAGCACGATGATTTCTCGACTATCTACAACAACCTCTGTTGGAAAAGGCAATGCCTAGGAGGCGCTTAGGCATGCTTAGGTGCTAGGCGATGGCTACACGCCTCGCCTAGGGCATAAGTGGAAATTTAGGCACAATAAATAAGAAATTGTCTACCCGAACGAGAAATTATGTCATACTGCATCAATATGCCAAACAGGCCATAGAGCTGGTAGTTAAACTATTTATATGCACTAAATTAATACTGGTACACATATAATACCACATATATATCTTGATAATAAAAACTATATTACCGTCTAGGCTACACCTAGGATGTTTAAGCACCGCTTGGGCACTAGGGGAAGGCAACCACCTTGCTCACGTCTACCCATTTTTTGAACCTTAACGACAACAAAGTTTTGCCCGTCTGCGATGAGAGAGGGATGGTGACAGCGGCCAACTTCGACCCGCTCTAGGTGGTCTACGGATCTGGATGTAATTTTGTTACTTTTGAGTTTTTTACTGTCATGACAGAAAATGAATAGATCAAAAGTTTTTCTTAAAAAAACAGTCACGTGATTTTTCTCTCACTAGGACGAGAAGTCATCGCATTTGGTGAAGAGTAAGAGCTAGGCTCCACAGCTCAGATATCCTGCTCGACTACTCCACTAGATTACATTACACTTTGCGATGCCAGTCGATTATCACCTTATCCTGATGGCCGTATTATTTCTGCATGGCTGTCAGCTGAAGACCGATAGCGAAGGCCAATTATACGTGGAAGGTGGAGCCGGACACCATGCAAATATAGCGAAGTTGCAACAGCTAGCACCGCATCGTCCTCGCGTCCTCGCGTCCTCCATCCGGTCCACCTTGAGGTACGCGAGGACCGACTTGGCGTTCATGGCGTCGCGTCGTAGCTTAGCGCTGGGGCTCCTCTTCGGCCTCCTGTCCTGCTACGCGTCCGTCGTCCCTTCCGTGGCTTCCTCCGACGGTTTCCTCCAATGCCTGTCGGCGGCCATGCCCAAGCAGCTCCTGTACACGCAGGGCTCGCCTTCGTTCACGTCGGTCCTGGCGTCCTCCATCCGGAACGCCAAGTTCTCCACGCCTGGCACGGTGAGGCCGCTCTGCATCGTGACGCCGACGAATGCCTCCCACGTCCAGGCCGCCGTCGTGTGCGGCCGCCGGCACGACGTGCGCGTCCGCGTGCGCAGCGGCGGGCACGACTACGAGGGCCTCTCGTACCGGTCCGAGCGCCCCGAGGCGTTTGCCGTGGTCGACCTGGCCAACCTCCGCTCCGTGCGCGTCGACCGGGAGGCCGCCACCGCGTGAGTGGACTCCGGCGCGACGCTCGGGGAGCTGTTCTACGCCATCTCGCAGGCGAGCAAGCAGCTGGCGTTCCCAGCCGGCCTGTGCCCGACCATCGGCGTGGGCGGGCATTTCAGCGGCGGCGGGTTCGGCATGCTGCTGCGCAAGTACGGACTCGCCGCCGACAACGTCCTGGACGCCACGCTCGTCGACGCCAACGGGGAGCTCGTGGACAAGCAAGCCATGGGGCCGGACGTGTTCTGGGCCATCCGCGGGGGCGGCGGCGGCGGGAGCTTCGGCATCGTGCTGTCGTGGAACGTGAAGCTCGTGCCAGTCCCGCCGACGGTGACGATGTTCACCGTCCTAAAGTCCGTCCACGAGGGCGCGGTGCGGACGTGGATTTTTAGAGCATATGCATCCAGGCCCTGCTATCCTAGCTCTCCAATATCGCTTTAAAATCCGTGCGGTACAACTAAGTTTCTATACAAAATTTTCTCTTTTTTGCTTCTCCCACATAGAACATATCTTGAAGTTGGAACCTATGCAGGATGGCAAAGCTTTCTAACTAGAATCTAGGATAAATCTTTCAGATTTTTTTGTCCGACGTAAATACTAAAAATATGATTTTTTAATAAAAAAAACGTATTTTGTATATTTATGTTTGACAAAAAAATCTGTACGATTTATCCTAGATTCTACTCAGAAAGCTTTGTCACGCCGCATAGGTTTGAACTTCTAGATATGTTCTATGTGAGAGAAACAAAAAAGAGAAATGTACCTAAAGCAAAAAATGGATGGCTGGATAGAGAGGGCCTGGGTGCATATGCTCTAAAATATATTTTCGGGCGCGGTGCGCATGCTCACCAGATGGCAGCAGGTCGCTCCGGCTCTCCCCGAGGACATTTTCATCACGGTGCGCCTCCAAAAACAGGTGGCTCGCTTCCAGTCCATGTACCTGGGCACGTGCGACGCGCTGCTGCCGCTGATGGGCAGCCGCTTCCCGGAGCTCGGCGTGAACCGGACGCACTGCAGGGAGATGACATGGATCCAGTCCGTGCCCTACATCTACCTGGGCGCCACCGCCGCCGTGGAGGACATCCTGAACCGGACCACCTCCAGCACCCCCTTCAGCAAGGCTACCTCCGACTACGTCCGGCAGGCCATCGCCGAGGACGTGTGGGCGGAGATCTTCGCCCGGTTCGCCAAGCCGGAGGCCGGGCTGATGATCATGGACCCCTACGGCGCCAAGATGAGCAGCCTCCCGGAGACGGCGACGCCGTTCCCGCACCGCGGCGGCGTGCTGTACAACATCCAGTACATGAACTTCTGGTTCGCCGCCACGGACGGGTCGGCGCAGACGAGGTGGCTCAGAGACATGTACGCGTTCATGGAGCCGTACGTGAGCAAGAACCCCAGGGGTGCGTACGTGAACTACAGGGACCTCGACCTCGGTCAGAATGTCGTTGTGGGCAACGTGACCAGCTACCAGGCCGGTAGAGTTTGGGGCGAGAAGTACTACGGAGGTAACTTCCAGAGGCTTGCCATGGCCAAGGCCATGGCGGATCCTGACGACTACTTCAGGAACGAGCAAAGCATCCCACCATTCAGCGAGTGACGAGGAAGATGCCCGTCGTGCCATCAAACTACGTTTGGGGACAAATCGCTTGAGCTTGGAGTTGAGATGGCAGGTGGATATTACTCATTGCATATGTGTTCACTGTATAATTCCAAAAGTTGGTTTCGAAAGTTGACAAAAGTTTGAATTCTGTTCGAATTGGGCTCCAATTCACGTCGAAAATATTCCCTACGATGGAGTCAACCGTGTCGCATGCATACTAGCAGTGTTGCCCTTGTCATGTCCTTGATACTCCACGAGTATGTTGGAGTTAATCACGTCGCATGCGAGTGTTGCTCCATTTTATATTCATGATTGTCGGAGTTAATCATATTTGTGATATATTGGAGTCAATCACGTGGTATGCCTAAACATTTAGAGTGTGGTCATTCCACCGAAATTGAGTCAGTCTACCATCTCTTCTTTAAGTGCACTGTAGCTATATTGGTTTGGAGGGAGGTTAAGCAGATCTTTAATGTTGACACAGTGGATTTTGAATCTCTTGTTAAACATTGGCTGATATGTTGGAGGCAAATGTGTTGATATGTTGGAGGTAAATGTGTTGCATGCCCTTAATTTCTATGGGTTCTCTCTATGTGCTATGTTTAAAAGTTGGACAAAATTTTACAAATATTCTACGCAAAATCATCTTGTTGCTTGGTCTTGAGAAAAGAATTCATCCGGTAACACGGGTGATACCGTGCCACCCCCATATACCGTTCATTCACCCATCTGATGGGAGGAATATCATTTGTACACGGGTTAACACCAATGAAAAAATAACGTGGTATGATAAAATAGTGTGTCCCTTAAAATATGCTATTATCGTGCTATATCACGTTATCGCGTGCTATAGCGAGACATTGTACACTTATTTATTTAGTGGGTCATTTCTCAGAATGCTATAGCATTGCTATTTTTTCCACTGGTTACCACACACTTACTTTTGCAAATCACCTGGACGATTGTTGCGCACCATAAGGGATTACAAAAGTACCCCCAATAAATGGTCTTTCAATTTGATAGCCACAGCCCGCAGCCCGTCTAGTACGATCAATGGTAGCCGTAAAGACTGATGGATTTTGTACGTTTTTTTCATCAAATTAAAAAAACATTTTTAGCCTAATTTGTAAATTTTGTAGTTTTTCAACGCACATTTGTTGTTTTCTTTGATGCATGCGCCGCACGGTTTTGCTGGATGGAATGTGCTCCAAAAGTTGGCTCCGAGGCTCCAAACATGAAGGCTGGGAGGCCATATATGAAGGGTGCTCCATAATGCATGGCGACATCGATCAATAGGGCTACTCTGCAAGAGTTGTTTATTTTTTGCAGCATGCACTCCATACGGTAGTCATCATGGAGTTTGGGTGTTTTGGAGACTCGGCTACAGTCGCTCTTATGTGAAGTTTATTTTGTTGCATGCTTCTATGTTTTATAGGCTCTCTCTACGTGGTATGTTTAGAAAATGGACACCAAATCACAAATATTGTACGGGCAGAACAAAGATTTTTGTTGCACCAACTGCACAAATTCAGAATCTGCACTGTTTTCCATAAATAAGTTGGAGCTTATTGCAGTTAGATTTTTGAAGTTTTTTTTAGGCAACCCCGTAGTCAGCACTCGGCCTAACATGGGTGAATATTTTAGATGTTGTATGGGGGCCACATATCAGTGATGGAGGAGGCCCAATCTGGCCAAACTAGAACTTCATGTCACACAAGGCAATCAATCAATTAGGGATATGTATTGCATGTTAGTATCCCTAGTTATTGTTAGTTTAGAGTAAGAATTTGGATGGAAAGGTTCGTCCCGAAGAAGGTTTTCTGTTATCTCCAAAATCATTTAGAGTTATTTTCTTTTAACCGAAGTTGCAATTGGCTTTATAAGAGCAACTCTAGCAAACCCCGCATCCCGTCGGCCCGCAAAACGCGTTTGCGGTTCACGCAAAACAGCTTTTGCAGGCTGGCCCCTGCCGGCACAGATGCAAACCCCCCAAATGGATCCGTAAAAAAATATATTCGCGGAATATATTTTTTTACGGGTCGGCTTTGCGGGCACTAGTAGAAAAAGGGTCTAATGTGCATCTCATTAGTCCCGGTTTGTATTTGAGCCGGCACTAATGTGACCATTAATGCCGGTTCGAACGGCTAGGGGGCGGAGGTCATTAGTACCGGTTCGTGGCGAACCTTTAGCACCGGTTCGTGCCACGAACCGGTACTAAAGAGAGTGGTGGCAGGATGTTGTCTGACTGGGGCCCCTCCAGCACCTTTAGTACCGGTTCGTGGCACGAACCGGTACTAAATGTCATCTTGCACAAACCGCTCTGTTCTTCCCCCCTTTCCCCTCTCCTCCTCCTCTCTGTTCTTCCTCTCCTCCCCTCGAGCTCCATCACACATTTTGTCCAAATTTTGTCAAGATTAGAAGGCCCTTATCCGTTTAAGTGATCACAAAGGTTAGCAACTTTGTCCTTTCATCTCTCATTGCTAGATTAGCTCTTGCAATGCTTTATATAGTGATTAATTTGTGGGTTTTAGTAATTTGAGAGGAATTATATGTGGTAGTTTATTTGATTTATATGCAATTTGAGCTTAAAATAACTATTAGTTTGCCTATGTAGGTGTGGTTTACTTAGTGCATTCCGTCTCCGTCGTAACCACCGCCGATCGTCCGCACCGACCCGTCGCCGGCACCACCTTGTGGTGAGCCTCTTGTTCTTATCTTTTTTATATAAAAAAATCATGTTTGTGTGATTTAGATATATAGTTACTTGTACAATTATCTTACCCGTACGTTGTTTGTTATACATAGTGCCATGGTTTTGATACTCGTCCCCGTCGGCCCTCGTCCGTGTTATGACTCGGATGTGGTATATTCTCTTTTAAAACTATTTGTTGCATTTTGTGTTTATGACAAATTGTGCCCATCATGTTGACATAGATATTTTTATCTAGGAGGTATGTGAACCGGAAATTCCAACCGACCCTATTGTCGAGAGGTTAAATTTAGTTGAAAGAGAAAACGAGTATTTGAAAGAAAAATTGAAAAGAGTTGAGGGGGGAGAAGATGGAATTGGAGTTGCATGTTGCCGATGTCGTCGATGATCACAAGATCAAGATGGAGAAAATGCGGTTGAAGATTAGAAAGAATAGAAAATATGCCATTGATAGTGTGGCTTGGTATCATTATGCTGTTGGATCAATTGTTACCTTAGTTGCGATCTTGATAGCATTTGTTGTTGAATTTAAATTCTTTAGCTAGAGAGTTATTTGTATGTTGCATTTAAGTGTTGTATGAACTTTATGTATGAACTTGTATTAATTTGGTCTATTCGGTGGTGTGTAATAAAGATGCGCCGATAATGGATGCACGATGACCGATGCTCTCCCCAGTTTGTTGATGGCGTGCATACTTTTCTGATTGCGGCTCAGGCAAACAAGCGGGCGGATGGTTTTATGCCTTATCCATGTGCTGGCTATATGAATGGTCACAATTAATCTGGAAAGTGCCGCTTTGAACAAGCCGGAGGGAATCTTTGTAATAGTTAGGGTACTTATGTGTTTTGGTATTTGAAACACGAAGAAATTTTATGTGCAAAAACTGAATGCACTTCGTCTACAAATTAGTACATCAAATAATTCAAATTTAAACTATTCAAATTTGAAAACTACTGGCACTAACAGAAAGTTTGTATTTTTTTGTAACTGTAGAAAAGATATTCAGAAATAAATAAATGAAAATAAATAAAGTAGAAAAGAAAAAAATTGTTGAGACAAAAACTAAATTAAAAAAATTAGACTATTCAAATTTGAAAACTACTGGCACTAACAGAAAGTTTGTAATTTTTTGTAACTATAGAAAAAATATTCAGAAATAAATAAATGAAAATAAATAAAGTAGAAACGAAAAAAAAGTATTTTTTTGTTGAGACAAAAACTAAATTAAAAAAATAAACTATTCAAATTTGAAAACTACTCGCACTAACAGAAAGTTTGTAATTTTTTGTACCTAAAGAAAAAATATTCAGAATTAAATAAATGAAAATAAATAAAGTAGAAAAGAAAACAACTAAATTTTTGTTGAGACAAAAACTAAATATAAAAAGGCCACCTACTGGGCCACAGCGGTCTGCATACGACTAGAAACCCAACTTGTAGTTGGGCCAGGACACAGGCCCGCTAGCCGAGTAGGCCCAACAGGGCAGAGTAGAAGAGGTAGGCCCAGAAGGCCTGCATTAGAGAGGGGCTCAATGCAGTGCCCGCGCCGGGGCTTATAAACTGGCCTCAGCGCTCCTCAACTAGCGAGGTGGGACTAAACTTGCGCACTGCCTGGAGCCAGCACACCCCCTTTAGTACCGGGTGGTGGCTCGAACCGGTACTAAAGCGGGGGGAGGGGGGGGTCTTTAGTACCAGTTGTAGCCACCACCCGGTACTAAAGGGGGTGCGCTTCCCGCCGCTTTGCCTGGCCAAAACAGACCTTTAGTACCGGTTAGTGGCTCCAAGTGGTACTAAAGATAGTTTCTATATAACTAGACACTTCAAAAAATTCGTCAGTTTCCCTCTGCTTCTTCTCCTCTGCCGCATCGTCGTCGCTCCTCGTCGCCGCCCCCGTCCAGCGCCGTCAGCACCACTGTCCCGCACCGTCGCCGCCATTGTCGTCAACGTCCCCGTCGCGCCGCCGCCCCGTCCCGTGCCATCGCCGTCCGACCCCTCGCCTCGCCGTCGCCGTCGCGCGCGACCTCGCCTCGCCTTCGACGTCGCCTGGACCTCGCTGTCGCGCGCGCTGTGAGCCCCTCCCGCGGCATCTCCTCCCTCCAATCCACTGCGCCGCCGCCACTGGCGGCCGCGCGCGCACACACACACACACACACTACACGCGCACACACACACACACACACTCACACTACACGCGCGCACACACACACACACACAATTTTTCTGTTTTTAGTTTTTAGTTTTTTTTCTATTTTTCTGTTTTTCATACAAAGTTTTAGATGAATTAAT